AGAGAAGGGAATGTCTGAGTATTTGGTTTTCAGCACATGGGAGTCTCCAGGACATGTTGGATTTTCCCTGTATATCTCTAGTCTTGCATTTTATTTGTGTGTTTGGCATGAATCACTGTGTTTCCCTTTTATTCTTAAGACTACTTGTTCTTACAGGGTGGGACAGCATTAATCAGTATCTAAATGAAAACCAAATTGAAGATTCTAGAACTATGTGTTGGGCAACATACAATGTAAATTTGCAAGACTACGATTTTTGGAAGATTACTTGCCCAAAGAGCTATATTGTTCTCAAACTAACTACCCCAAAGTGCTGCCTTCTGTGTTTCATCTTCATATTCTCGTGGGAATGGAGTCAGCAGCTCCAGGTGCCTGTCTCCTCTCATACCACTCAAAGTTCCTTTGAAGACTCCTCCCATGGTACCTATCCCCTGCAGAGTCTGCCTCCTTGTAGGGCTGCTTCAAGCCACTTTTGTGAATTGAAAGTGCAAATGATTGCCATATTCTGGATGTAGACTATGTTTTTAACTTGTGATGTTAAAAAAAAGTCGTGTACATTATAAACGGTGTCTAACAAAAACAGCAGCGCTTATAGGACTTGTTCCCCCTTCAAAGTGGATTGTAGCATTTTCTATAAGTTGGCTTTAACAGTACTGTTTTTCATTTTTCAGTGAATTGTAGCATTTTCATAACAACATTAAGAACCTCATAATCCACTGTTTCTCAGAGTCACTAGCTCATGAATGTTTGGAGGATCCATCTAATATGTTTTCATAGGATAGTGTACTCTATGGGCTCTTGTATTTAGATACTTGGTGCTCAGATAGTGGCACTGTTTTGGGAGGCTATAGAATCTTCAGGAAATAGAGCCATCCTGGCAGATAGAAGTGGCAAAGCCTTGACAGATACACCACCCTAGGTTCCAGTTTGGCCTCTGCTTCTGGATCTCTGGAGCAGGTACTGGTTGATGCCTTACACTTCAACCACTACTGACAGAGCAATGCTAGCTCTTTTGCCTTCCCCACCATTCTGTACTGCATCCACAACAACTAGAGACCAGAAGGATCCTTCCCCTGAAGTTGCTTGGGTCAGGAATTTGTCACAGCAACAAGAACAGTAACTCCAGTACAAACCCAGGCTCCTCTGTGGAACAGAGTATTTGCGATAGGGCTGTACCACACTACCACCCGAGATCCACCTACATCTGTACCTCCTGAGGGCTGGAGTTAGAGCATGCACCATCATACCCAGTTCCAAACTTTTTTTTTAAGGAAAGAAAAGTTTATAAACCTTTTATTTTTACGTGAATGGATGTTCTGTCTATATGTGTGCCTGTACACATGTGTGTGTTGGATGTCCTGGGACTGGAGTTACAAACAGTTGTGAGCTGCCATGTGGGTGCTGGGAATTGAACCCAGATCCTCTGGAAGAGCAACCAGTTCTCTTAACCACTTAGCCATCTCTTAAAGCCCTGCTCCCCAGCTCCAAACTTTTAAGTCCTTAGAAAAATAACTAGTTCCACATGGTGAAAAATGAAATGAAAGCATACTTATATTTAAAATTCTTATTTGAATAAATATTTTCACAACAAGCTATTTGCTGTATTGAAAGAGACCTGTAATGTGATGTGTAATACTTTTATCCCTTGTTAATTTTCATCCCCTCTGAATTGAATGTATCTGTGAAAGTAAGATAGTTTAGGAATATTTATAGGCAGAGTTTTAAAAATTAAATATTTGAATTTTTATTATTTTGGTTGTGATCAGTGCACCCATGCCACCATTGCACATATGGAGGTCAGAGGACAATTTGGTGGACTTGGTTGTCTCCTTCCCTCTTACATAGGTTCTGGGCATCAAGCTCAGGTCATTTGGCTTGTATGGCAAGTAGCCTTACCTGCTAAGCCGTCTCACTGGGTCAATTTTATGTGTTTCTGAATTATCTCAATGTCATCCTCCCTATAAATCACTAGGATCTGAAGAACTTTCTTGATGTTCAAGCTAATAGCCACATTCGATTGTTCCCTTTTCTACTTTGACTTTTTAATTTCTTACTAGTACATTTGAGTATGAAGCACAATAAAGTTTATGTTGTTGGTTTGCTTTGAAGTCTTCCAAAGCTTGCTTTTAATTGACAAATAATTGTGTTTATGGCTTGTAATTTATTATGTGTTGTAAGTGATTGTATCAACTTTGTCTACTGATTACTGATGTTTTAGGAAAAGGAATTTCTATGATAGAAAGGGTTTGGTAAGTATTTCAGCAATGAAGTTGCTATTATTCTGTGTTAAGTGACTGTCTGCACAGGTGTAGTGACTCTTTACAGTGCCAACATAGTCTCCCAATTCTTTCTTGACAAGTTTGTGAAGTCTGAGCTTGTTTACAATGACAACCACATTTATCATCATCATCATCATCATCATCATCATCATCATCATCTTCTTCATCATGTATAGTCTTCTGCCTGCATGCCAGCAGAGGGCACCAGATCTCATTCAAGGTGGTTGTGAGCCACTGTGTGGTTTCCGAGAATTGAACTCAGGACCTCTGGAAGAGCAGTCAGTGCTCTTAATCGCTGAGCCATCTCTCCAGCCCCAGCAGCCATTTCTTAAAGATAAGAACTATGAAAGATTTTTAATATCTCACAAACTAACGTATCCTGATTTTTTTTAAATGCCTATAAATGTAGGTGTAAACTCTCTTTTATTTTGGCCCACTGACCTCTACAGGTCATTCTGAGTTTCTATGTCTCCCATCTTCTTGCTTCAGGAGGGTTTCTAGTCCATTAATTTCATATACATATTTTTCAAATTAAAATTCTTTGTGAAAAATGCTAATGATGAGTCTGTAGCTGGTTGTGCTGGTGTACATCTTTAGTCACAGCACTCAAGAAGCAGAGGCAAGAGGATCTCTTGAGTTTAAGGCCAGCCAATGAACTCCAGGACAGCCAGGACAACACAGAGAGGACCCTCCCTGCTCCCCTGCTCCCAGAAGAATGTAATTGTGAGTCATAGTGCATGCCTGTAGTCAAGGCATCATTGGGAGACTGAAACAGAAGTTTTACCATGGTCTTGAGGCCAGCCTGGCTCTGCAGCCAAAACCCCATCTCAAAAAAGAAAAGGGGAGGGGGGACAAAGGGTGAGAATGTGAAGCAAGTAGACCACATTTATTATCAGTCTTTTTTTCCATTCTAAATTTATGTTTTTGTGTATTGCCTCTACTTCACCAGAAATATGTACTGTGTCCCAGTAGCCTACAAGCTCAGAGATCCTATCCTTGGCATTTTAGTAATAGCTAGACTTAATGCTACATTCCTGTGTATCTACAGTATTATTAGATGGTACGTTTAGAGTTGTCCAACTTGAACTACTTGTGTATCTGATCTTTGTGTAAACTTTTAAAATTAACAGATTGTCCGGTTTATTCAGCCACATGCTAATAACTCAATGTATAGCATGTAATTATAGTAAAGTTCATATAATCTCTAAGTCTTTTGGGTAAATTCTCATCATATTTAATTATATGGTGACTTTTTACTTTGAAATGAAGGAAAACATCTTGTTATTGTTTTTCCTTCCATTTTTATACCATCATCAAATTGTGTTATCTTTGCTGAGGTCTTAAGCAGTATGTTGTTGTGATGAACTATATTGTATTTGCAATTTTGTTTTACTGAATACACTTAAACTATTAAGAACAAATGAGTGGGTGCCAGAGAGATTAAGTGCATGGCTGCCCTTCCAGAGTACCAGGGTTTGATTCATAGCAGCTATGTGGAGTCTCAAAACTATCTATTAACTTCAGTTCCTGGGGATCCAGCACCCTCTCTGGACTACAGGCACTTGTGTGGTACACAGACATACATACAAATTATTCATAAAATAAAATGAAATAGAAGATGTAGAAAAGAAAGGAAGTCTGAACGTTCTTTTCACAAACTAGTACAGTGGCTGGAGAGATGGTCAGTGGGTGAGATGTCTGTGTATTCTATCCCCAGCACCCACATCAAAGTTAGGCATGCCCGTAATGTGGTAGGGTAATGGAGGTGACAAGAGCGTCTCAGGATCACTGGACAGCCAGCCTATCCAAAACAGAAAGCTCCATGTTCAATGACAGACTCTCAGTAAGTAAGCTGGAGAGCAAATGGTATCTGACATTAGCCTTTGGTCAGCACACTTGTACAGACAGATGGGTTCATCCACACACATAGGTGCACTCGTGTATATACAGTAAGCACACACACACACACACACACTCAAATGATGCACACACATAGACATAAAAATTGCAGCTGTTAGTGCTGTGAGGTACCTAGTGTCCATCCCTCAAGAACTGCTCCTGTGCTTGGCTGGCCACCTTCTGAAATGTGACTATGTCCCAAAAGGAATTCTGAAGCAGAATTCGTACTGCCAGACTGCAGTGAAGAGTAGGGCAGTGCCTTTGGAACTAAGTGTAACCTGTAACTGGTCACTTCTGCCATGTGTACAACCTGGAAAAAGCTGAGTATTAAGATGTGCGCGAGTATTTGTTCATGGCTCTCTGTCCACAAAATTGTAAACTTTTATATTATTTTATCTCAAAATCAGAATATTATATGAAAATGCAGATTTCCAAAGGGTATGCACCATATAATTCCGTCTTTTTCAATGTATTCAAAGTGTATTGATTGTGTATGAATGTCCATCCATTCACAAAACTGTACATGAGACAACAGCTTTGTAATAAACTGCATGCATGGATGTTGTTTACTCAGCTCTGTCTGTACTGTTATCATTTGTGAGAGAAAGAAAAATGTCCAGTTTGAAGTAAATATGTGTGAATATCTTGTGAGTTATGTTGTTCACTATTTCAATGTCAATTCTTTATTCTCCTGACAATATTTTCAATGATTTCACATTGATGATCAAGTATTTACTGAGAGTAGAATGAATAGTTTTGAAGCTGAACTAATTGTCCACCAATGAAGTTTTTAACACAAACTTGTTTTCTTGGTTTTAATAGGAAAAACATCAGAAAGAGGCTCATTTTCCCTGTACAGCAGAGACTCTGGATTATCAGGCTGTCAGGTAAGTTTAGTAAGACTTATACTTGTGTAATGATAAAGAAAATAGACATTTATCCACATAATTTCACCATTGTGTATTCATACAGTTTTTCAGAATCAAACCATTGGTCAATTTTAGTTTTACTGGAAGCACTGATAGATCATTGTGCAATTGAGTTTTTAATTGATCCAGCACAGAGGATTATGCCATTTTTAATTAATAACAGGCACAGTCCCTTTTAAACTACCTATTAATAACTAAACTAAAATTCTTTAAACAGTATGATAGTTTTTCTCTTTATACTTATACAAATATTTATTTACACAGCTTAAGTAATTTTTCAGGACCTTAAAAGATAGCAGTGCTAGTTTCCCCCACCCCCCAAAGTTTAAGACTTTATCTAAGTTCATTATTAAGTTCTTAAGAACAAAAGCTTTAAAAACCTCAGTTAACTCATTGCTGCTTATATTTAGGCATTTATATTTTAAAATATTGAGAGTAAGAATATTAAGAAAATGTAAATGACAAATGTGTGTACACCTATTGAGAATTTAAAAATAAATGAAGCACAAAAAATGTATAGAGTTCGAAATAAGTTTATATTAATAAAGATTTGAAGATACTAAGTAGGTGCTAGAGAGATGACTCAGCCATTAAGAGCACTGTCTGCTCTTGTAGAGATACCTGGTTTGGTTTCCAGGACCTGCATAACAGCGCACATCTAACACCCTCTTCTGGCCTCTGTGGGCACCAGGCACTCAAGTGGTACACAAACATATATGCAGATGAATACCTGATGCGTATTAAAAATAAAAACAAAATTTGAAGACGTTTTCCTCAGCAATTGACACAATAACAATACAAAATCTTAATAATAAAGCTAAATTAATTTGGCCTTATTTGTACTTACAGACCTCTACATCCAACAATTTAAGAATGTAAATCTCTTTCAAGGGTACATGTTAATTACAATCAAAAGATATGAATAGTATTCCAGCGCATAAAATCAGTGTTAACAAAGTACAAAGGGTGGAAAATGTAGAGAGCGTGAACATAGAAGCCAACATGAAATCATTTAACCATACGTGTTAAATAGCCATTTTGAGTCCCACAAGGTGGAAAGGAGAAAGCCAACTCTGAAGGGTTGTTCTCTGACCTTCATGCGCTCACATGCCACCTACATATAGGCACAAACACAAATAATAATAGTGTCTTAATTAGGGTTTCTATTGCTGTGAAGAGGCACCATGACCAAGAAAACTCTTATAAAGAAAAACATTTTGGCTTACAGTTTCAGAGATTTAGTCCATTATCATCATGGTGGAAACCATGACAGCATGCAGACAGACATGGTGCTGGAGAAGGAGCTGAGAATTGTGCTTCTTGATCCACAGGCAGCAGGAGACTGTGTGCCTCACTGGGAGTAGCTTAAGCATATTAGACCTCAAAGCCTGCCATCACAGTTCTTCCACCAAGGCCACACCTCATAATAGTGCCACTCCCTATGGGCCAAACACTCAAATGCATGAGTCTATGAGGCCATTCCTATTCAAACCACCACAAGTAGTAATTTTAAAACTTATAAAACATAAAAGTATAAGTTTAACAGAATGTAAGACGTTAGCAGTGAAAATACACAGTAAAATTGGGAACAATCAAAGATCTGATCAGAGATATAGATACAAGAATATTTAAAGATAGAAAATAGCAGTGATGTGGCTCAGCAGGTAAGCATATTACCTACTCAGCCTGACAACCTGAGTTTGGTCCCCGGAATCAGAAAATAGACAGAGAACTAACTCCCATAAGTTGTTCTTTGGCCTCTGTGTATGGTCATATGTTATTTATTGTTACATACAATAAGTAAATAAATGTAATTTTTAAATTAAAAGCAAAAGATTAAAAAGCTGAAACAATTTTTAAAAAGGATTATTTACCATGATTTCACTATTTACTTCAAAGCAACACTAATCAGCAGGACAGCCTTGTATTTGTATGTAGATGGAAACATAACTCAAGGAACAGAACAGAGAGCTGAGAAAGGGCCCTCAGATATATGATGCTGATGCAAGCAGTTCAATAAAAGATTATCTCTTCAGTGTAAGGTACTATGTATATCAGTGTGGAAAAGAGGAGCTTTATCTCTTATACTTTATAAAACTTAAGTTTGAAATGGAACTGTAATTTGAAAGCTAAAGTAATGATACATTTAAGGAGAAAACATACATGAATGTTACTACCTCAGAACAAACAAAAATTATTTTACAAAAACTTTTTTGTGTATGTGTGCTTTTCTGAATGTGTACCATATGAATACAGAATCTTTAGATGCCAGAAGAGGATATCAAAGCTAGAATTAGTTTCAAGTGGTTGTAAGCTACCTGATTGTGGGTGCTGGGAACCAACCTGGGTCCTACGTAAGAACATTAAACATTCTTAACTGCTGAGATACCTCTCCAGCCCCAGACAAAAATTCTTAGGAAAGAAGTAGAAAGCATGAGGCATGAAAGTAACCAAAATTTAAAGTGTACTCAACTTTCACCACCCCACTCTCCCCCCAAAAAAGTACACCATCAAGAGAAAGTAAAGGGAGCATTGTGACTGGCAAAGGCCTGTAGTCCTAGATACGCTAGAGTCTGATGCAGGACCACCTTTTGAATCACGTGAGTCTGGAGATTGAGGCCAGCCTCAGGGAACATAGCCAGATCCCATATCCATCCATCCATCCACTCATTGAATTCATTCTTTGGCAGGAGAGAGAGGGGGGTGGGAGAGGGAGAGAGGAGAGTACGTGTGTGCATATATAAAGTATTTTAATCATACTCATACTCCATTACTCTATTCTCTCCTGTAGAACCCCTTCTTCCTAAAAAATTCCTATTTTCATGCCTATCTCCTCCCCCAAAAAAGATAGAATGAAAACCTGCTCAGTTTAATTAGGTATTCTTGCATGAGGGTGGATAGGAGTTACTAAAGCATGGGTGACCTACAAGTAGGGACACCACTGAAGAAAGGGATTTCCTATCCCTACCCACTTGGGGAGGAGTGAGACTGAATGAGGCTCTCTTCTATCCTTGATGGAAGTTTGACAGGCTTAATCTTGTGTGAGTAACCACATCTATGGTGAGCCTTTCTTAGGAAACTTCTTTTAGCAGTGGGTACACATAATGCAGAAACTCTTTTAACCAAAGTTTGGAGAACGAGTGACTGCTGAGTGTTCAGTCCTAAGCAAGATGTCTGTATCACTTCTAGGGAATGGAAGATTCAAAGGATGGTAGAGAAATGCTGTGAAACACTGTCTTGGCTATGAGGTGTCCATTGCTCTAATAAACTCATAACAACTGTGCTTACCTGGATGAGGTTTTTGGCTTTGTTTTAGCTTTTTTTCTCTAAACAAAGAAAAGCCAAAATTTAGAAGATATCATACATATTTTCTCAAGTGATAATTTATCTTCTAAATTTAAATTTATAGATAAGATATATGGCACATACATCTAACATAGATCTTGTGCATAAAGTATATGATAGTTCATGATAATGTAATAGGAAAAAGTTAACCTATTTTGTAAATGGATTTGAGCAAACATTTTATAAAAAGATATAAAGAAGACTGATTAGCATGTGCACACCACATTATTAGCTATGTGGTGCATACGAATTAAAATCATCATGGTATACCATTGCATATCCACCCAAATAACTAAATTTAAGATAATGAACATCACCAAATATGGAGCGGCCTCATGTTGATAATGGGACTATCATAGGGCACAGTGATGTTAGAGAAATAGTACCAATTATTTTTCAAAGTTAAATATGCAACTATACCATAACCAGCAATGTTATTCATGAATATTTTTCCAAGGAAGACTGACTTATTGTTCATAAAAAGTTTATGTCAAGAAAATTCATAGCAGTTGTGTACATGTTATCTTAGAACTAGAAGCAACCCAGATGTTCAGTAACAGAATGTATAAACAACTTGTGCTGTATTCATCCATTGAATATTGCTCAGTAAAATGGAATGAATTAATGACATAGGTAGAAAGACCAGTGAATCTCAGTGCAGTGTGTAAATGTGTCCAGACTTTGAAATACATAATGTATGACTTTATGTTCAAACACCTATAAAATGGTAAAACTGTTGATAACCTAATCTCTGGTTACCTCTGAGAAGAAGATTTGGCTGTGTAAGGGGTAGGAATATGCTTGGTGTCTTAATGTGAATTCATCAAAACTGATGAATAAACTGAATGCCCAAACATTGTATTGCACATAGAATATATGCATTGAAGCCGAGTAGTGATAGTACACGTCTTTAATCCCAGCACTCAGGAGGCAGAGGCAGGTGGATTTTTGTGAGTTTAAGGACAGCGTGGTCTACCAAGTGAGTTCCAGGGCAGCCAAGGCTACACAGAGAAATGCTGTCTTGAAAAACCAAAAAATAAAAGAATATATGTATTGAAAACAAAAATAAAGTGTAACTGAGGGTGATGGTACATACCTGTAATCCACTTGGGTGGTGGAGTCAGAAGGGTTGGGAGTTCAAGGCCTGAATAAACATTGTCATAAAATGTGTATGGGGGGGTGACATTTATAATAGCCCCTAATGCTAAAGTAGTAAGGAATAATTTTTTAATAATTTATTTTTTTATGTATATTGGTGTTTTGCCTGCCTGCATGTTTGTGTGAGGGTGTCAGATCCCCTAGAACAGGAGTTATAGACAGTTGTGAGCTGCTATGTGGGTGCTGGGAATTAAACCAAGTTCTCTGGATGAGCAGCCAGTGCTCTTAACCACTGAACCATCTCTCCAGCCCCATATATTAGGAATACATTTTAACAACCCCCCCCCAAAAAAAAAGTGGGTAAAACCTCAACACTGAAAACTAACCAGTGCCTCAAAATGTTTAAGATCTCAGCAAATGGATAGCTGCACTGCTATTCCATCAACATCGTAGGTAAATTCTTTTCAAATGGATCTAAAAATTTTAATGCAGCCTCAGTTATCATCCTGTCAGGG